TAGCTTCTTCTATAGCTGTTCGTTTAGGCAGCCATTCTCTAGGAAGACTTCTTAGAATCTTTCTAACTAGATCTTTTGTTGGAAATGTTTTCCCTAAACCTTTTAATCTATTTATTAGGTCATTAAATCTCTTGTACATACTGGTTATAGACTCACCAGTGCTCATTTCAAACGATTCATATTCATTTAACAACACATCTATCCTACTTTCTTTAACTTCTGACGTACCTTCGTGAGTAGTCTCAAGAGACTCCCATATCTCTTTGGCTGTCTCACATTGAGCCACTTGACTCCTCTCTTCTGGACTGAGTGCTGAGAAGAGGATATGCATTGCCCTCGAGTTCTGTTGAGAAGACAATTTTTGATCATCCTCCCATTTATCTTCCTGCTCATCATCCATAGGGATTGGTCCATTCTTGACAATTGCCCATAATCCGCCGTCGACACCCCGTAAATAAATCCTCATCCTCTTCTTCCAGACTGTGTAGTCCGTGCCGTCGAACCATGGTGGATTGGTGTTCGCAGAGTATGAAGCCGAGGCAGCCATGACTCCAGCCATGTCCTTGATCGTCTTTGGCGAAATTTAATCCTTCAAAGACCCAGCTCTGATACCAATTGTTGGAAATTTGAGACGAAGAGATTCGGCTGGAACACAGTGAACAAACTAATTTATTGATTGAAAGAAGAAATTACACCAGAGAGGCAATTGAACCACTCTGTGTCGTGCCAACTGAGTTGGCACTTTAAGAACATACAAACAACAACACTCTTCCCAAGCTTGATCCACCCAGAATAATCACTATGAATCAAACTACTGAAGAGAAACAACCGGACTTAAGATAGCCTAAGAATTCTCCTAATTCTTTCTCTATCGCTGCCAAGTTCTAAACGAACAATCACAAGTCTATTTATACCTAGAAATCTGTCTTGACCGTTTGCACTGGAATAGAGCCGTTTGATCTTCATCATGCCGTTGGTGGGATGTCGGTGATGAAGTCGGTGATGTCTGTGCTTCTTCACCGACGATCAGAGTTGAGCTTTTTCATCGTTTCTTGTAGGTAGGTGGGAGGCTACGATCGAGAGGCTAGGGTTGAGTGTATGACCAATTCTGCTCGACTCAGTAGACTTAGAAGGACGATGAAGCGAGTGACTGTTGGAGTCCAAAACGTCGTCGTGTGGAGTTTAAGCAGCATGGGACGAAAACGTCACCGTATTGGAAGATGCCAGGTTCATCTTTCATCACCCTCTCCTTCCTTCCTCCTTCCATCTTTCTGTTTCAGGATACTCTTCTTCTCCCTTCCTTTCGTGCTCTATTTCCGATAATGGCTTCCTGATTCGCAATGTGGAAGTGCTCTTCTCTTTCTCCACTCTTCCAAGTTGTCTGATTCGCAAGGAAAACCTCTGGTATTGCCTCTCACTACTTGGGTTGCAACACTGGCCTTTTGCTAGGTTTTTTCCCCATTACTAATTGCTGCTTTCGAGCTCTTAAGTTTCTTGATGTTAGGGTTTCTGTTTTGCTTCTGTCCGTAGCTGTGGGTTGTGTGTGATTCTTGGTCAATTTTGCTTTTGCTTCTGTAGTTTTTGTTCGTTCGAAAAAGATTTATGGGTTATGCTTGGCTACCACACCTCAAGCGTTAGATAATGAGCTCCTTCCCTCTTGCACATTTCTCCGATTCCTGTTGAATTATGGTCTGTAATGATTGATTCGGACCATTTTCTTGTCAATTCTTGGTCTTGCATACACGAAAGTTCCAGAGTTGCTTCAAAGCTAGGGAACCGCCACTCTCTACGTACTTCCCTCTTGTGGGATCTTGTTTTTCCTTTGCGTGTGGCCAATTCATTGCTTTCTGACGCTTGAGAGTCTGCTCGTTACAGGATGGTATGCTCCTTTTTCGGACTGTGATTATTCAACAAAGATCAGCTGGGAAATTTTATTTGGGAACGAGTTCCTCACAATCCCTGTGAGCTTTTTGGACGAATGCTCTTGTTAGCACTCTTATCTCTCTGAATCGCAGAGTGGGTTCTTGTGGTTGGTGCTCCCTCTGGGAAGAAAAATATGACAGCAAAATCAGTGAAAGGGTCCTCAAAGTTCATGATTCCTGAGACCGGAACCAACAAGTTTGATGTAAACCATTTGGTCGCATCTGCTCTCTCATCTAAGGAGGATGCACTTAATCGTGTACTATGTGAAGGTCAAATGCTTGATACAGCAACATCAACAAGAGAAGGAAACTGTTCCGTGTGTATTTTTGATGAGTTTAGGGCTTCGGCAGATTCTTCACATTATGTCCCTGGAAACGCTGGAGCTTTCCTCAATATGAGCGGAAAAGAAACCAGCATGGTAATAGAACCAAACGGTTTGATGGAGGAAGGTTGGAGTGACATATCTGTTGGACCATTGTCTGAAAGCAATCAGCACCATGCCGTGAAAGTTAAATCTTACAGGAAGTTCTGCAAGTCAAATAGTAGTCACCGGGACCCTGGAGACTCCTATAAATGGCATTCCTTTACGGAGAGAGGGCAGGAAAATCACGGTCTTATCAGGTTGAGGAATCAGTGGACTGTTAAGGAAGCACAAAGGCGTCACCACAAAGATGTGGTCATTAGAGATCCTGAATTTTCAGAAGCATTTCCTTCCAGAGGGCCTGCTGAATCTCATTGTTGGGTTCCTGTGCATAAAACGAATCCGAGCTCTTCAGCCTACTTATCATCATGTGCTCGAGTTGGTCTCTGGAAAGCGACTAATTCTGCAAAATATTGTGTGCATTTGCGTCGCCCAGTTGAGAACTCTTCTGCTGCAAGCACAGCTAGCCATAACCAACCTGATGTGGTTCCTCATGGCTCCCATTACTCAAATACAGACTCAGCTACATCCACAAATGTACAAAAGGCTGGACCAAGGTTGACGAATCCTAGAGCCCATTCTGCAACATATAAGCCATTTGATACTTCCCTGTGCAGTAAACCAGTCTTGGGACTTAATCATGGCGGACATGCACTGAGAGACTGTGGTTCTTGTCAAGCAACAGCTATCAAGTGGGTCCCTGTTGCTGCCAAAACATCCAAGATTCTGCAGAAAGTTCATCCTGGTATAACATTTACTTCTCACATAAAGAAGAAATTTTCTAGCAATGGGACTGCTAAGCAGGATTATGCCGAAGAGGCGTTCTGTCCACAGGCCACTTTAATTGACTGCGAAATCTCATATGTGATTCCTTCTAAGAAGGAACCTTGTGAAGAAAGTAGACCTCCAAACTCTGAGGAAATTCCAGTTGAAAAACAGAATAGTTCTAAGAAAGATGAAGCAAGTTTTGATCAATATGTTGAAAAACTGAAAGAAACTGATGAATTTGTTGGATCACGAGCAGTGATGGAAGCTCTAACTGCAGCTTATAAACTGCAACTATTGTCTGGCATCATCAAGTTCACTATTGGATATCCACTTGCGGATTTTGAAACGTTTCTCAATGCTTCATGTCCAGCTATCACTGCATCTTTCGTGTGTGAGAAATTTGCTGTGTGCTCAAGTAATCACCAATCAAGTCGATGTGTTTGTGAACATCAGATGCAAGATGTATCACTTTCTGCTCTTTGGGACTGGTATGAAAATCCTGGAAGTTATGGGTTGAAAGTCAGGATAGAAGCTCGTCAAGATCTAAATGGTTTCATGGATGAGAAAACACCATTTGATGCACATTTTGTTCCTTCGTTATCGGCTGTTCAATTGTTTGGGTACCCTGTACACTCAAATTCAGAAGGTAACAATCAAGGAGCTGTCAGTTTTGAGATGAAAGACAAGGGAGATGTCGAATGGCATTCTTCTTCCCCTAGAAGCACACTTCTGATGGATTCACTGGACAGATGTGGAATGGGTCATTTGTCATTGGATAATGAAAACCTAAGTTCGGTTTCTTCACCATCCTGCTCAAGCAATTCAGAACTCCTGTTCGAATTTTTTGAATCAGAACAACCATATAATCGAAAACCTCTTCACCTAAAGTAAGTTCATCTTGGCTCATGATTGTTCTTGGTACAAATTTGAAAACTTTATGTTGGTGGCGTGGTACTTGTAAAAGTTTTTCATGATAGTATTTCCTGAATTGATTACAGTAATTTCATGAGAATAGAGAAATTGAATCGACTTGCATACCCAGTGAGAATGAAATTGAATCTTAATAGCTTATTGCAATGGCAATTGACTTGAGCGTTTGATTCTTTTGCTAAAAGACCTTTTACGCTGTACAAATTTTGCAATCTGACAATGCTTGCTGTACTTGGGAAAGGTAGAATAATGAACAAAATTGCAGCCTGATCTTGTTTTCAATTGTTGCAGAATATTGGAGCTTTCAGATTCTGGAACTCCTAATCTTCAAGTATATGGTGATCCGAAGAAGCTAGTATCATTGACACTGAATGAAATACACCCTGCCTCGTGGTCTGCACTCCTGAAAACTGGATTCTATACATTTTAATTTTTATTTCAGGTTCTTAACTTGTGGTACTTACAGTATTTACAACTAATATGGCATTCAGGTTCTCAGTTGCATGGTATCCTATATGCCGAATTCCAGAGGGGAAATTGCGTGCATCATTTTTGACATACCATTCCTTTGGCCATTCAGTCAAGAAAAAAGACATTACGGCTGATCTCTCTCCCAATAAATCGACTCCCCTAACTAGCTTCCCAGCAATAGGGTTACAAAGCTATAACACACAGGTACCTGTCGATACCACACTTTCTCAAACTTGGGTTTCGTAGCAAGGGAATTTTGGTTACACGGTCAACTTCCCAGAACAGAACATCTTTGCTTCTAATTTCTTTTCTGTACTAACATGTCAGCTTTATCTCTAGGGAGAATGCTGGTTTGATATCAGAAGGCAAAAGGAATCCTCTACTGGAAAGCAATCACTTGGTGATTCTGAAATTCTCAACAGAAGACTCCAAACTCTGCAATTGAATGCGTCACTTCTTGCCAGAGGCTCTGTCAGTAAAGATAATATCAAGGTGGACAATGTTCAGCCAGATTATGAGTTCTTCGTTTCCAGGAAGCGCTGAAGAATGGATGAAAATTGGAGGCAGATTTAGGTCGACCTTTCACCATAAAGATAAACGAAGTCAGTAAGTCTCACATAGTTTCTAGATGTGCAGTTAGTTCCCCTACTGGCCAATGAGTTCCATCCATGTGGTTTTTGTGCAGACGTATGTGACACAGTACAGTGTTTTAGACAGAATTCTCTCCTCTCTCAATTGTGTAGTCTAATTCTGATGTATATAGCTTATTGTTGAACCACCATACTATATGTCATTGATCTAAATGTTCCTTGCACTGTTCAACGTGGAATGTTCATTCATTGTGACTTTAGACTTACCTGTCCATTTGATTTGATCCGAGAATCCTATTATCAACCAAAGCCAATCATAGAAGTATATATATCTAAGGGTACGCTTGAAAAAATGACTAAGCTAGAGCAACTAATCTAGGGACATAAACATAAGAGATTGCGATGATACGTTTGAGAGATGCATCTTCTTCCTTTCTTGTACAATCCACCCGACCCGTCCATCTGGAATCTATAGTCAAGAATCCATTCCTCTTGTTTCGCTTGACCAACAGTTGAATTTGGATACAAATACAATCCATCTCTCCATGAACTGTGTGGCAGAATACACCTCCACAATTCACTAGTCTAAGTGTCTAACCGGCTCTAGGTACCTGTGGACGAAGTGCTACTCTTCGTACGAGATGAAGCAGCAGAAGCATTGCTCTGTGTCTGCGAGCTCTGTGTGGTGGTTGACAATTCATCCCTGAAGAAAACAACATTCTCTGGGTTATCCTCAAACACCCTGAGAGATCTAGGGAAAGGCGGCAGGTCAACGGTCAACATCCCCTCTAGAACCTGAACCACCTGACCCATAGAAGGCCTCTGGTGTTCTTCATCTTGAATACACCAGAAGGCAAGATTGCACACTCTCCGAACCTCTTCCAATTCAGCATTCCCCTCCAACCTGGGATCCACCAATGTCAGAACATCGCCACCAGAATCAATAACCCTCGCAGCCCAGCTGGGGAAGAATCTCAACTTCCCATCTCCCAGTTGCTCAGTGTTTCTCCTCCCAGAAATAAACTCGAACAGCATCATTCCGTAACTGTAAACATCAGCTTTAGCAGTTACAGCCACTCCCGAGATCCACTCCGGCGCGAGATACCCTCTAGTGCCTCTCATGGTCGTCAGGACCCTGCTGAAATCCCGACCCACCAGCTTGGCCAGCCCAAAGTCTGCAACTTTGGGGCAGAATGCGGAATCCAGAAGGATGTTTTCTGGCTTGATGTCACAATGGATTATACAATCCCTGCATTTCTCATGAAGATAAAACAGCCCTCTTGCTGTTCCCAGAGCTATGTTGTACCTTGTTTCCCAGTCAAGAGCTTTAGAGCCTTCTGAGAAGAAGAGGTGGTGATCGAGAGAAGAATTCGGCATGAAATCGTAGACCAAGAGCTTTTTATCAGCGCCTTCTGAACAGAACCCGCGAAGGCGGACGAGGTTAACGTGCTGGATTGTCCCAATGGTGCTGACTTCAGTTCTGAATTGCTTCTCACCTTGGTTAATTGATTCCAGCTTCTTCACGGCTATGGCGGTCGAATCGGGTAACACCCCTTTGAAAACTGAACCAAACCCTCCTCCTCCGAGCTTCTCCGAGAAATTCTTGGTCGCGCTCTGTAAATCTCTGTAGGTAAAAGCCATTAGCGAGCCTTCCATCGCTTTCCCTGGCTTCACCATTCTCCTTCTCCTCCTCCTAAGCACTATGAACACAACCAAACCAACAAATCCCAGAAACACAATCGAGCCCACAACAGCACCAATCACGATTCCGTTTTTATTCTTGGAGCTCGAAAACTCGGATCTTGCAAGCCTGACGAAGATGGTTTTCCCACTCGCGGTAGCGTCCGATTGCAGATTTAAGAGATCCCCGTACCAAACAGAGCACTGATTACCGTCATAGGAATAAGCAGAGCAAGAACAGTTGCCCAAACAAGCCGCTTCACAATCTTGCGAACTCGCCACCGATCCCACCACCGTCTGCGGGTTATCCGGCTGCCCCACGTTGTAATTCGGCCAGAACCCATCTCGATTCCGGTTCGAATCGGTTGAATTGCTGCCGTTCTCGCACTGCAGGCTCGCCCTCCTGGCGCACCCTCCGTAAAAAACCCCGGATTTATAATCCGCCTCCGATTTGGGGACGAAGCCGTTCAAACAACGGCAGAACGGCTGACCCTGTGCCGTACAGCTCCCGAACGCGCCGCAGTAGCCGTAGACTTCGCACTGAGTTCTGGGCTGCGACCAGAACAGATTCCATTGCTTTGTCGAGTCAAGCCACGAGAGCTGCTGAATCTGGCCGCCGACGTCCATCACGAATCGGGAAATTAGGGATTGATTGTACATCGAGTAAGTGAAGTAGCTCTCGTTCACGTTATCAATATACGAGAAATTGTAGATGAAATTGAGCCTCATCTCCGGTACCAAGCTGAAAATCCGGCCGTCCCACGCCCCGCTGGTCCAGTAATTCTTGGTCAAATTCCAGAGGATGAAGTACTGACTGGTTCCATTAGGGTCGAGTTCTAAGGAAAACGGGCCGGGCGATGGATCCTCGTTGTTCCTCCAGGAAGTCAGAAGCGTGGTCTGCCTCGTGACCTTGTTGAGCCCAATTTTGCCTCCCGGAAGCCACGTGTCCGCCGGATTGTCGAAGCTCTGCCACAGGGGTTTGGCTGAACTTGAACCCGACCCGGCCGGGAGTAAAACGAGGTTTCCCTGGTCGAGGAGAACGGCGTCGACGGGAGCGGCGGAGGAGTTCAGCCCCGTTGACCAAATGGGAACCTTGGATTCGTTGAAGAGGACCAAGTTCCCTCCGGAGATTCGGAGCTCCGACGAGAACCTGTCGGAAACAGGGGTTGCTCTGTTTGCTACCCAGACTATGGTTTGTTGGGAGACCAGCTTGTAGTTGTACCAGATTCCGATGTAGTAGTTGGTGGAGTTGACCGTCGGTCGGAAGAATCCGAGCACGAAGACGTCTCCGGCGGAGTTGATGGTTTGGTCGCCGGAGAGAGACCGGTTGGCGGTGATTCTGTCAGCTCCACTGGATAGATGGGCCAGTAAGGAGAAGGAAAAGAAGAAGAAGAAGGAGAGTGGCGCCATGGCTTATTTGCTTTCAGGTGGATAAAGGTCGGAGCTTTTTGGGTTTCTCCGGTGAACCCACGAGTTTCAAAAGAGTAGAGATAAATGGGTTGTGAAGAAGTGGGAAGAGAACAGAGGTCCCATTGTTGGATGGAAAATTGAACAGAGAGGAGAGACCTGCTCTTCCTACCCGTGTGTCAATTGTCAAAGCTTCAAAAGTTGAGACCGGAAACGGCTGAATTTGTCATTTCCCTCTCCTCTCCTATTTTATTTTATTTTATTTTATTTTATTTTCGGTTAGCTGTACCGGCTGCTGCACTGTTATTAATTTTGTATTAACTGGTCCACATGTGTTGGGTGGCACTGAGATTTAATTCGTAAATTATATATTAGCGCTGTCCAGTACGTAGGAAGTTGTTCTCCTCAGCAAATCATTTTTTTTTTTATAGAAGGATCCTGTAAACTTTTATTGATCACCCTCTGTGGTTACATTTTCCAGCAGTAACTGATCAACAAGGAAACCTGGTGGTATATCCCACCACACCAACGTTTCGTTCCATCTAGTCTTCCAATGCGCCATTATATGGGCTGCAACATTCCCTTCCCTTGATATGAACTTCCGACGACCATTGTTTAGCATTTCCAGCTTCCTTCGTATGCTCCTACACACAATTCCAGTCTCCTCAGCAAATCATAGAATCTGGAAAATTTGCTTCCCTCTTTCTTTCTTTTGTCTTTTCTCCCTTTGCTCTTTTGAAACAATGTTATCAGAAATTTACAATCTGTAAATTCTGTACGGGTGGATTGGATGAAGTTTTATACAAAAGAGTTAGTTTTGGATTATGATTCGTTCTAATATGAGAAGTTGAGACAATTTAAATTGTTACTCTCAACAATTTAGCAATTTGTCATATGTCAAAATATTGTGATTTTTTATATTTTCAGACGAGATATTTTAATAAAGATAGGCTGAATAACCATTGATTATGCACAAATACTTAATATATCTTGCCTCTTAATTTTAAGTGTAGTCAGATCTAAGATTTTAGATTAAAATACTTTCTATTTTTCATACTTTTTTAATCGACTTGAATCTTCTCTCTTTTAACTTGAGTTCCAGATTATTTTTCAATATGGAACGAGTTCGTTGTAATCTAAAAATATATTTATTTTTTAATATATTTCAAGATACAATATTTTATACAATCCATTACCACCTTGATATCACTCTGTAACACCTTTATTTTAACTCAAACTTTGAAAAACTTCGCATAGAGGAACGTGTTTATCGTGATCTATTGTGATTTATAAATTCCATAGGGGGGATTTCATGAATAAATAGACCATCTTAAATCACCTTGGTATAGGATGGTAACTGGTGGTAGACAATTATGAAATGTGGTAAATGGCGATTAGTATATCTCCAGTATCATATACTATCATTTTTTTTTTTTTACAAAGGAATATCTTTATTGCACTTTAACTAGTCGGTTACAAAGAGAGACAAAGAACCAACATTCTGGTTCAACAAGAGAAAGGCCAAGGGAGCCTGGTTATAATCAAACCATGAAAAGAAAAAGCAACAACAGAGCAGTGTCCATGAAACCGTACTGTACCGGTGGTTCAACCACGAAATACCAGTATCGGAGGCTAAATCGGTAGGCGGTATTTAACGGTATAACGGTTGAACTATGGTTAGACCACGATTTTACCATAAAATACCCTAAAACTTACTTTCCCGGTACGATCTCCGGTACGGTTTCATGGACCATGCAACAGAGAGCACATCACAGAATGAAAGCAGCCACCCATCCGAACAAGACCCTTGAAAGAGAACAGAACATCAGAAATCTCTCTTGCAACCAACCAATTAGAATTGAACAAGATCGAAATCAGTTTGTCCGATCATATCGAAATTCATGGCAATTGATCACATCAAACCATAAGCTGCCTCCTGGGGATAACTCAAAGGCACCCATCACAGTGAATCCTAGAAACAAGATTGCATGGCGGTGGATGAGGATATGAAACGGATTGCTTCAAACTGAAAAGGCAGAGGAAGCTGAGGCAGAGACATAAGGTTTGAAGCAGAGGAGAAGGTCCCAAGGGAGCCACAAATCTCCACGGAGAACACCGATACCCAACCCTCCATGATCCGACAACTCACCCAACAACACAGACACAAAGGGAAGGTCGGATTGGGAAAGAAGAGAATGGCTTCACCAAAATATGAGACCACCAACCTGGGAAAAACACCACCATCCAGATCTGGAACAGGCACCCAAATTGCAAACTCCAGATCCTACAACGAGCAAACCTAGAACAGGAGAACCAAGAACCGAAGGAAGAGACAAAGCTCACCAGGAAAAGAAGAGACAAAGCTCGACTGGAAAGGAAGCTGAAAGGCCACAACGGCAGGAGAAAAACTGGAATCCGAAGGAAAATCACCTAGAACAAAGCTAGGAGAAGCATGCGCACAAAGGGGGGGGGGGGAACAGGAGCAAAGGAGGGATTGAGCTGCTGCCGGTCACCAAAAGGAGCCGGCGGCAGCCCATGGAAACTTGAGGAAATGGGACCGAGAATAGAGAGGGCAGAGAAAAGGGTTTCAAATTAAAGTAAGTGAGAGGCCATCTTATTCTATACTATGATCAATGCAGTCAAAAGCGAGTTTCTACCTAGAAACGTTTTGGGGATCTAGAAGCATAAAATATAAATTTTTTAAGTTTAAAGCGGAGTTTTTAACAACGTAAGTTATAAAAACTAAAATTTTGTGTAGAAGCGTTTTAGTGACCTAGAAACGTAAAATCATATTTTTTTAAGTTTTAAAGCGCGATTTTGACTGCATTGACTATGATATATTCATATCACCATGGTACACTTCCACATCATCATGGTAGAATCTTACTAGTCGTTTGCTACGGGAATTTGAAAATTGATGGTTCTAGTAAAACTTGGTTTTTGTAAAACCATGAATATATGAGAGTTTTGGGTTCATTAAGGACTTGAAACACACCATTGTTTGTTTCATAGATTTCTTGGTAGATTTGGTTAATCAGATTTGTATATATGAAGTGAAATCGACTTATATTGTCCTCAATTGTATTAAAAGAGAAAGATAATAAGAGAAGTAGGTTGCTCATAAGTGATGGATTTCAACATCTATGATTAATTCCCAGCTAAAGTGTTGGAATTTTTAAATTTGCGGGGTCCACGAATTTGGACCCTTAAAGTCCATGGGTCCACAAATTTGTTGCTCATGTGTAGATGAAGCAAACAATGCAGTTTGGACAAAATTCACGATATAGTCTAGTAATATATGCGACTACTAAGAATCCCTTCTATCTACTTTTCAAACTCTCTACCTTCTCTCTACACTTTCTCCTCCATTACGTCTCCCAAGAGTGTCGTCGGCACCTCCGGGTGGCTGGCGGCAAACCATCTGTCTCATTTCCAGCTTTATTTGCCAAGTTTCCATCCTTTGTTTAGGCATTTTCTAGCCCACAATGGCTTTCTTTCCATTTCTCTAAGTGGAGCCTCCACAGACCTACCTCCCTATCGATGGTTTTTTTTTTTGCCAAATCTTATGTTTTCCTACATATCCTTGATTTGGGTGTGGTTTCAGAGTGAGCTAAGGAGTTTTTCTCTTTGGTTTGCTTTCTTTCTTCAAGGTTTATGTAGTCCTCCTCCTTGCTTTACCCTTGTCGTGTGGTGATTCGGTGGAACCTTGATCTTTTTTTTCGTTGAATCAGTTTCCTTTACTATTAAGTAAATCGAATTACAAAGTGCAATTCGTAAACCAATACAACGAAAGGGCTACCCCATTGTGGTTGCCCTGCAAGAGCAGAAAAGAAAAAAAAGGAGAACGAGGAAAAAACAGCCAACTTCTCTCCTACATGTATAACCTGCAACTACTTAACTCTATACAATATGCAGCAACTGAAGATCTCGCCTCATTAAATCCTGCAGGACTCCAAAATCTCGTTCTGGTTCTTGGTGAATACGCCTGCAACGCTCCTGCCAGATGTAGGTAACCAGCATACACCACTTGATGCCAAAGAAATTCCCCTGGCCTCTCAATACAACCTGGCAAGCCGAATTCAAAGACTCTGCCCAACTCGCCCTACAAACCATATTAATATCAAGGAAGCCATTCACAACCTGATGAACAAAACTACAAGAGAAGAAAAGATGGTCCCTTGTTTCACTAGCGTTATGACACAAAACACAGCAATCATCATGAAGCTTCCCCCATCGCAGAAGCTTGTGCTTTGTCACTATAGCATCCAAAATAATAATCCAGGCAATAAAACTAAACCGGGGTACACTGAATTGTCCCCATACTAACTTGAACCAGTCAACCTTGCAATGCTAGGGACGGAGGGAATTCCAAACCAGCTTGACAGAGAACTGTGGCATTACCTGTCCATTCCACATAGCACAGTCGCCTTGCCTGGTAAGAAAGGGCTGCACCATGTGTCGTTTCTTTAAAATGCGTCTCCAGACCCAAGCACTATTGGCATTTTCCTTCATCATCCATATATCACCAGATTTGCAACGATAAGCAAGCATCCAGGCCACCCAGAGAGCACCTGATTGCATCATCAAGAGCCAAAGCATGCGAGTTGCACAGGCTGTATTCCATGAGCTCAACTCACGCAATCCTAGCCCACCCTCAGACTTTGGTCGAGCCAAACGATCCCATGCCACCTTCGCCCTGCCTGTATCGTTACCATGCCATAGAAAATCCATACAGAGTTTCTGCACGAACCTTGATCTTCAATTGTGAGATTTCGACTTCTCTTCCGGGTTGTCGTTTTTGCATTTGATTGCTTGCCTCCCTATCCATCCAATGGGTGGTCTGACAATTTGCAGTCTCCCATCTACTAATTCAATTCATCTTAAAGGATTTGAAAGGCAGTATTGCTGATTTAAGCTGTTAAATGACTTTGGACGACAATCTTCGTCGATTTGGTTTCCCTTCTGATAGGAACCTATGGCTATCTGTAGTCAAATGTATATAA